CCCCCTGGTGTAACAGAGGAGAACTGCCCCACAGGGTTTCCTAGGCTGTCATCTATTGTGTCACTATATACTCATATATACTCTTATAGATCATCCACTCACAGCGCCCCCTGGTGTAATGGAGGAGAACTACCCTACAAGGTTTCCTAGGCTGAAATGTTTATGAAGCAGATCCCCAGGTCTCTCTCCCAGGGAGCCGTTGGATGCATTCCAACTGCCAACCGTTAAGTTAACCACAGAGCACATAAATGCTGCTATACTCATATTAAAAAGATTGGCGTATACCAGGCTGCTGTGAAAGGACAGGGGAAGGGAAGCAAGAGAGCTAGATTTAGACAGAAAATAAGCACATTTGCCCAGGGTGACCTCACCCATGTCTCAGGCTCAGTTCCAGGCGGCTGTCGTAAAGGGAACAACAATAGAGTCATAGGGACTGTTTAGTTTCCCAGTGCATCTAAAAGTGAGAATGACTCTAGACTATAGTCTGTGAAGTGTGCAACAGCACGGTGAGAACGTTTGAGACTCTCTGAGAATGACTACAGTGGACACAGAGGCACAACGTGTGTTGGAAAATGGCACCCACAAACCTGCTCGACCCAGGGTGGCCATAAACCTTCCATTTATAAGAAATGCAGTATCTGCTCCATGCAACCAAACCTATACTTCATTTGGCGAGTTTCTGAAGCACCATCCTTGTTCACTCATCATGTTGTTGTTGGGTACCATCCATCGTGACCCATGGCGCCCCGTGTGACTGAGCTGAATTGCCTCAAACGGTCCACGTTTGTTCATGCTTTTCAGAAATCCCACCGGTAATGAATACAGATTGGTACAGAGGTGGGAGCCAAAGTCTGGTGACCGTCAGCTTCTATTCCTAGCACCCAACAATCCCGGCTAAACTTGTACACACACTTCACCCAGAAAGCCCCTTCACCCCTCAGCTTTCAGTTTCATTTGGAGAAGAAATTATTCGTTTCTGTGAATAAACAAAGACCAGGTGAGGAGCCCACCTGAGTGAGGAGACCACAAGCCTGAGTGGTCTCCATCCCATTGAGTATGCAGATGGTCTGGGGAGATTCCCACTAGGATTTATAACTTTAAGTATGTGCACTTGAAAGCCCCGCTATAAAAGGCTTTGTTACACCCTGAGATCTTAAAAATTATGCAGCATCTCTTTGGACTTTAGTGTGAATTGTGGAGTTTCACAGCCTTCAAAAGTTAACGCATAATTAGGCATTTGTAAAATATTCCACAACCCACTTCAGGGGGGTGAGGAGAGAGGAGGAAGACCCCACATTCTGCTCACAGGCATCTTCTGGGCATGTTGCTGGTTGGCACTTTGGTCTAAAACCTACTTGTTAGCCCTGGGAGGGCTTCAAAGGCAAACTTAGCTCCTAAGGAGTTTGGGGGAGCTCTCATTTGGGTGTGAAGTCAGGTAAGTGTTCCTAGACCTGGCATTTTCATGCTGGTACAACAGTCAGGCAGCTCTGAGACTCTTGGGAATTCATTTCTGCCTGTCCTTTATGCATCATGAATGGCATTTTTCCATGCAGAGTTGTGGTGGTGGGTAAGTGGCGTCGAGTTGGTTCCAACTCAGGATTTTCAGAATGACTGGTGTGTTTGAACCGATGACGTTGTGGTTCAAAGCAATCTTGCAGTCCAGCGCTAATCCTACAACACCACCCCACTAATATCCTGCTTAGTGCTGCGTCTTAATCTCAAAGTGGAATTAACAAATCCACCCTTTAACCTAACTCCTAGGTGGAAATCCTGGATTTTATCTTTTAGGATATTCCATAAGAATAAAGTAAACATTTTTTATTTTCCTATTGTCATGATAGAAAACGAAATTAGTAGTTTAGAAAAGAATAGTCCCTTATGTGAAGTCCACTAGAGCTAGTACTCGTGGTGTCACACTGTAGGATCAGCACTGGACAGCGAACCACAAGGTCGGCAGTTCAAACCCACCAGCTGCTCTTTGGAAACCCTATACAGGATCGCTGAGTTGGAACCAACTCTACGGCACTTTACAACAACAACACCACAGTGCTGTTTGGACTCCTGGTATGGCGCTGTAGGATCAGCATTGGACAGTTCAAGTCCATCAGCTGCTCCTCAGAAACACTATACAAAGTCACTGTGAGTCAGAACCAACTTGATGGCACTTAGTAACAACCGCAGAGTGCAGAAGGGTGGAATGAGATGACTGAATTTGGCCAAACCTTGCTAGGGAGCTCGTTGTTGTATGCTGTTGAGTTGGTGCTAACTCATAGCAACCCCTCGGTGCAACCCAGCGAACCACTGCCCGGTCATGCGCTCTCCTCACAAATCAGTCTCCACTGCAGCTGGATCCCATATACTTCCTCTGAGTTGCTCATTTGTCTTCATCAGTGCTGTTGAGAACACGCCATGTCTGTGGGGCCCTGGGCCTCACCTCCCTGCTCGGAAATCCTGAAGCTGTCCTTTCTATTCGAGGGTCCTCCTGAATGTCTCTGTGCAGCCTCTGTCTCCTCTCCACTGACGTCTTACTCACGATTCTTGCAGAAGTGGTGGAGGAAGGCTTCCAGATCCCATCCACAATAGCAGAGAGGTACAAGGTCGGGAGGACCATAGGAGACGGGAATTTTGCTGTTGTCAAGGAATGTGTGGAAAGGTGAGAAGGATTTCATTTGCACCAACTTTAAAGGCAATGCTCAGCATTGCATCATTTTCGCAGCGGGACGCACATGTGGAACGAGTTAATGTCTCAACCCCAGATGTAAAAAGAAGTTGTTAAAAAAAAAAAAAAAAATCTACTGACAGATAGAAAAATGTAGTGATTCCTGGGAATAATCTATGCATTCAGGGCTTTGTTTTTGTTTTAAATTGTTTAATGTCTCTTTTTTAAAAAAGACGTGCTGAGTCGTTTTTCCTTGTTTTGAGGCAAGATTTGTCGTAGTTAGAATATTCTTGTGTAGAGTTTTGCTTTCTAATGTGAGCTCTCATCAAATTAAATTCTGGTCGGTCTCCATGAACAGCGGGGTTCTTTTCTGACGACTCCGCTCTAAGTCAGTTCCGGTATAAACTGACTACACCTAGTTTCTTTTTCTTGTTACTGACTTTTATTATCAGCCCGGTGGCACTGTGGGTTAGGTGTTGGACTGCTCACTGCAACATAAGAGGTTCAAACCCACCAGCTGCTCTGGATGAAAGATGAGGCTGCATCCTCCCATAAAGACCGACAGTCCCAGGAACACATGAGTCGGAACGGATTTGATGACAGTGGATTTAGATTTTTTTGGTTGTAATCAGCATCTTTAGAAATCTGATCTTCATTTGTCTGTGGGGGTTGGAAACATTACATAGAAATCTACAGCTAGCATGACATCAGTAGATTGCACGCTGCATCATTGTAGGTAATTCATATTCTAATGATAACGTAACAAAAAGTTTCAACACACACAAGTGGATGATTGTGTGTAACTTGAATACGTTGGGAGTCAGGGATAACCTATATCATTTGTCACAGCAACCCTGTATAGGATTTCTGAGGAGCAACTGGTGGGTTTGAACCATCAACCTTGCGGATAGCAGTCCAGTGCTTATCCTACAGCGCCACGCCAGAACTTGAACCTGTATAGTACTAAGTTTGGAAAGGTTTAAAATGCACATGTAATGATCCCAACAAAAATACCATTTAAATACATTGTCTTAGTTCTTCAATGTTGCTGTTGCAAAGTGCTGTTGAGACAGTTCTGGTACTAGAATCGGTTCTGGTACTAGAATGGGAAGACAACAGGTGGCTGGTTTTAGCAAACAGATGTGTTTTCTCACAGTTTCCGAGGTTAGAGGGCCACATTTAGGGCACTTATCTTTGTCTTTCTGCAGGCTCTGGGGGACAGTCCTTGCCTCCGTTCTGCATCTCTGGGCCCAGGGTTCCTTTCAGCTTGCCCTGTGTCTTGGCATCAATCTTCCTCTGGATCTAGAAGGTTCTAAGCTCCCAGATCCGCTTCCTTGGTAGTGTCAAGTCCCCCTGCTCCCTTGTGTCTCCTTTGACCTCTGGTGAGATGGACGATGGTTCCGGCCACACCCTAGGGGACCCTCACAGTGGATTAGGGCCATGGCCTGAGTCAGGGCGCTACATTCAATCAGGGTTGATCACTTCAGATCACACTCAGGGAATGATTATGCTATTACATAACTGCCAGGATTGAGGATCACAGCCTGACCAAGCTGACGGGCATTTGGGGACCACAGTGCAATCCCTGATGTATGTAAATCCATCCATTGCTTTGTCCCAGTCAGTAGACCAAAGGAGAACTGCCTCGCAGGGTTTCAAGGCGGTTGCTTTACAGAAACTGACAGCTACACCTTTCTTCTCTGGTGCAGCTGCTGGAGTCAAACTGCCAACCTTTTGGTTTGCAACTAAGCGCTGGACTGTTGTGACACCAGGGCTCCCCTCATCCTCACACCTCCCAGAAAACAGGCTTCAAGTGCTCTGCTTACCGTACATTGTGTTCAAAGCCCACTGAGGGGACATTTTCTTTGTTTTACACAAGAATTCCGTCACATTAGCACCCTCTTCTCCATCTTATAGAAAGAAACCCAAGAGGTTAAATACCAAGGCCACCTAGCTAGTAAGTAGTAAGCACAGAGCTAAGTCACCTGTAGCTACCAAACCTGGCTCTTAACCACTCCACTCCATTCCCTCTAAAACCCGTCTCCCGTGAGCTTCGGACTTACCTGAGCACCACCCACCCTGTGAAGTCTTGGAGGGCGCTGCAGGGTAATACTCTGCACAGAAAAGTCAGTTTGAGTCACAAGGCCAGCAGGTGAAATCCATCAGCTATTCCTCGGAAACCCTGTACAGGGTTGCTATGAGTCGGAAGTCAATGGATGACACGTGACAAAACAACCCACCCTGTGGTGGCCTCTTCTTACGCAGTCTCTGTCCCATCAAATGACACATCACATTGGGTAAAGTTGCTGCAAACAAGCTGTATAAAACATTACAGCAAAGGTATCACTTTGAGCACTAAGGTGTTACTGACCCAAGCCATGGATTTTCAGTGAACTCATATGCATGTGATAGTGGTGTGCTGTGTGGTCGGTTCCAACTCCCAGCAACCCCGGTACAGGGTTTCTGAGGCTCCACATCTTTACAGAAGTAGAATGCTGGACAACGAATCAGGAAAATCAAAGGAGAATCGATGCCTTTGGCCACACGTATGTCAGAGTAGAACTGTGCCCACAGGGTTCTCAGTGGATGAGTTTTCATAAGTAGATCCCACTCATGGTGCCCCGTGTGTGTCAGAGTAGAACTG